CCCTAGATTGTCTTAATGGTGGTGCAGACTTTGTCAGCCTTGGAGAAAAGGTGCCACACTTTGCCATTTATCTTCTCACTGATGATAAAATTGTGGCAAGGCTTCTAGTCAGCCATGTTCATGGCCTTGGAGGTAGCCATCATGTGGTCCCTCACTGACTCAGAGGGATCCAGCAAGGGTTATACTTACCCATCTGCAGCTGATGGAACTACTTGGAACTACTTGCTTATCATGTGTTTGCAGACATCACTTTCATGGGTGGCCACCTGGGGGATCTCCAGGAACACAGCAAACACCAATAGACGCACTCCAGCAGCTCCAGGTTGATGTGCATGTGGAACGGTATCTGCTGGCACTGCTTCATCTTCTCCTGCTCCTGGCTGTGCTCCTTCAGACTGGACAGCAGCACCCTTATCTTAGAAGCTTCTTGGTCTGGCCTCTGGGGTAGATTTCCAGTAGGCCATTGTGTATGTCATTGGTCAGGACTTGATAGAAGGCACAGATCCCCAGCAGTACCATGGTGTGGCTGTACCTGATCTGCACTGGCAGGTCGGCATGCTGGATCTTGTCTTGAAGGTGAGGTCACGGGCCTGATACCAGCAGGAGTGCAGGTGCAAGGTTATACATATTTTTTGGGGACACAATTCAATCCATGACACCTATCTACATCTTTGGTTAAACTACTTGACTTGTATTACTACTTTTATTTTATGTGATGGTAGATGTGGCATAAGATGGCACACATGTGAATATGGTCTGTGTGGTCCTTGGCATAGATATTCTTGTGCATTCTCTCCATTTGTACAGCTGAGTCCTTGCCCTCATTCTCTGCCTGGTCTTGCTCAGATATTTAGGAAACTTTGGTAATGTAGGGTTATAGGGAACAACTACTGATGGGCCTTGTAATCAAACTTGTGACAAGTGTGGAGGATGAGCCTCATGTAATTGTGGCCAATCTCCTTGTCATGCCCATCACCTTCAGGTAGTGCTGCACGTGCTTAATAATAGCACTTATCTGTGCCTTATCCTTCAGGTGCTCCACGTACTTTTGAGAGTGAGCATCAGTGTTTTGCATCTTCTTGGTAAATTCTTCATCCATTCATTCCACCAGAGTTAGGCTATAGCAACAGACTTACAGTGGTTAGTCAACATTGTGCAGGTTCTAACTCTCTTCCAGAATATTCTCCCCAACAAAGATGTTGGGGCTTGCAAAAAGGATCTCAAGGGTCTCACCAGGCTCTATCGGAGCAGCAGACCTGGTCTTTTTTTTATTTTTTTTTTTAATGATTTTGAGTTTTGAAGTGCAGTGTTATCTTTTGCTATTAAGAAAGCATTTCCATCCCTCTCCAATTTTCATTCATGATACTTTTTCTTTCTTGATTTACAAATGTTTGAATCATTGGAACCTTATTAAATGATAATAGAGAACAAAGTTGCCTTGTTTTAGACGATTAGGGGAATATGGAAATATAAAAGGGAAAAGAAACAAAGACTTTGGAGTCAGAAAATCTAGATTGAGACTTTGCCTTGTGCAACTTTTAGCAGTTTGAACTTAGACAAGCTGTTAGCTTCTTTGAGTCTCAGTTTCTTAATTTACAAAATGCAGTTAGTGGTGCAATATGTGACCTACCTTCTTTGTAACATTTGTCCTTTTCAAGTATCCTAAAATGTGGTGATGCACTGACAAAGCCAGTAGGTCCCCAAACATGTGGGAATGTTCCTATTTTTAGCTTATGCTGCAGCCTGCAGGCTCTTCTCAGCATAGTTTCAGGCTCAAACCCTTCCAAGTCCAGCTCCAAAGCTGCTTCCAGGAACATCTTCCAATTCTCATTCCCAAAATCCCCTAAAGCAGAAAAGAGTCCATCCTCAAACTGCCATAGTTCTTCATCAACACATCTTTAGTTGCACTTACTCTATTCTTCCTTAAAGTAATTTGTTTTCAGGAATTATTGTTTCTTATAGACTGAGTTTGCTAAAGTAAAGGAAGGGTCCAGTGTTTTCAATTTCTGTCCAGCCTTAGAAGACACTAATACAGGTGAATTATGGAATGATTTCAATCAGCACCAAACCCCCTCTAATCCTACAGTTATTGTTTATCCCTTCTACCCATGAAATGGGAGCTCTGGTGGTAAAATAATATTTTATTAGAAAATATGCTTGCTATAGCATATGCTGGTTTTATCAAGAGTTCCTGAAAATCACAGAGTCATCCTTTGAGTTGGAGGGTGGTGGAAAGCCATAAATCTCATAAAAACATGGACTATATATCTGTAAGCATATGTACATACATGTTTGAGTGCTGCATATATATATCACATAAACCAAAAAACCAAACACACTGTCGTTGAGTTGGGTCCAACTCATAGCAACCCCTCCTTGGGTTTCTGATGTGGTATCTCTACAGAAGTAGATTGCCCAACCTTCCTTCTGAGGAGTGGCTGGTGTGCCAGCCTTCTGGTTAGCAGTCAAATGTATCAGGCACTATGCCACCAGAGCTCCCATTTATCACATAGTGGGCACAATTTTAGAGATTTTCTCCAACTCTCACTGCCACTGAGTCCGATCACACTCATAGTGACCCCTCCTTGGGTTTCTGAAGTGGTATTGCTATGGAAGTAGATTGCTCAACCTTCCTTCTGAGAGATTGGTTTACTGTGTTAAAAGGGTTAGGACCATGGTCTCATGGGATAATTCAGTCAATTGACACAACATAGTTCATAAAGAAATGTTCTACATTCTAATTTGGTGAGTAGTGTCTGGAGTCTTCAAAGTGTGATCTGTACTTGTCTGGGGGAAACCAAAGACTCAAAGAAGAAACTAGTCCACAGGACTAATAGCCCACACAAACCACACACGGCCTCTTTTAGCCTGAGACCAGAGCTAGATGGTGCCGGCTACCATTACCAACCACTCTGATCAGGGACAGAATAGAAAGTCCTGGATAGAATGGGAGAAAAACATAAAATAAAACTCAAATTCCTGAAAAAAGCAGTCCAGACTTACTGGACAAAAAGAGACTAAAGGAACCCCTGACACTATTGCCCTAGGATGTACTTTGAACCTCCAACTGAAGCCACTGCTGGAAGTCACCTTTCAGTCAAATGATAGATTGGCTTATAAAATAAATAATTGTCACCCATGTGTAATGCGCTCCCTTAAACAATGAATCATATGAGACCAAATGGTCAACATTTACCCAAAAGCAAAAATGAGAAGGCAAGGAGGGCCAGGGAAGGTAGATCAATGGAAACAGAATGGAAATAATGAGCATGCTGACACATTGTGAAAATGTTACCAGTGTCCCAGAATAATATGTATAAAAATCGTTAAATGGGAACCTAATTTGTTGTGTAAACCTAACCAAACCAAACCCATTGCCATCGAGTCAGATCTGATTCATAGTGATCCCTCCTTGGGTTTTCGAGGCGGTATCACTACGGAAATAGATTGCCCAATCTTCCTTCCAAGGAGTGGCTGGTGGGTTTGAATCTCTAGCCTTCTGGTTAGTAGTCAAATGCCTTAGGGACTATGTCACCAGAGCTCCTTGTAAACCTAAAGCACAATAAAATACCAAAAAGAAAAAGATGGACTATCTCAGAAATGTTTTAACAGAAATATACTGACGTGGTATATTTCTTACTTTTGAGCATGTATTATTTTACGGTTAGGACAATTTATTTTACCTGCAAACTGAAAGGTTGGTAGTTTGAGTCCACCCAGAGGTGACTTAGAGGAAAGGTCTAGGGACTCGCTTCTGACAAATCAGCCTTTGAAAATCCCATGCTCCCAGTTCTACTCTGACACTCGTGGAGTCGCCATGAGCGGGAATGGACTCCAAGGCAACTGGTTTGGCTACTGCTGCTATAATTGCCGCTGATTATAGAAATAGGCAGCAAGCAAGGTGTGCTACCGGTAAAAGCTCTTCGTAGCTGCCTTGTTTAAAACAAAACAAAACGAAACGAAACAAAACAAAACAAAAATACCAGTTGCCAGGAAGTTGATTCCAACTTAGAGTGACCCCATGGAACAGCGTGGAACTGCCTCATAAGGTTTCCAAGGAAAATCTTTATGGGAGCAGACTGCCTTATCTTTCTTCTGCGGAGGGGCTGGCAAACTATTTGGTTAGCAGCTGAGCCCTTAACCATTACTTCATCAGAGCTCCTTGGATAAGTAAAAACAAAACAAAACTCTCACTGCGGAGGAGTCCATTGGACTCATAGCGATCCCTCCTTGGGTTTCTGAGGCTTATGGAAGTAGATTGCCCAATCTTCCTTCTGAGGAGGCTCATGGTTTTGAACCACCAGCCTTCTGGTTAGCAGTCAAATGCCTTAGGCACTA